AAAAGCAAGACTGACACAAACACGCATGGTGGAAAACACACAAAACATCATCATTAGCACACAGTTAAGTTATAAATAAAAGCCCAGCATCATATGGTTGAAACTAAAAACTTACTTAAAACATTATTCTTTTAAGCTTGAATATGCTGCTCCTTGTTCTTTCTTATGAGCAACAAAATTATTCTGTTTTATTTTATTCTATTTTTTTCTCTCTTGATAGAAGAGAACATATTTGAAATATCAATAAAGACAATCATTAATATTCTGTGTGCAAAAAGCCACAGTTGGCCGGAAAAGGTGCCTTTTGCATGCATGGTAACATAGGCCTTTCCTACTTATAAAGTATCCAGTTATCGACTGACAACTAAGCCATTAAACTGTAAACAAAAGACTTCTGCAAAAGATCAACCATCACTTTAGATATCCCTACTTGCTGTGTACAAACACAGAGTCATTCAAACAAGTAATTCCCCAGGGAATGCATTGACGGAATTTTTAGAATATTTTCAACTCGATCGCAGTACTATACTAACGGCTCCGCCCCTGAGGCGTCGCCAAAAATTTGGTGTGCCATGTCTACTTCCAGTGCTGATGCAGTAATCAAAACTGTGTCAGCACTGGAATTCAGATCGCCTCCTTTATCAGCACTGGAAGTCCAGTGCTAACGCTATGGTTTGTCACAAAGCGGCAGCATTACATGTCGTCAGACGTGAGATCTTCCTCCACCAGAGCCGCTGCCTGTCTGTAACTTTCCAGCCACCGTCGTCTGTCGTCCCCCCGGCTAGCGTACTTAGCTTGCTCTGCAGCGTGACAGAGCTCCGACAGGGCCCGGCTGAAGCCCGACTCATCTAAGGGGACACCATTAACGGGCAGATCACTGTCGGCACCTGGATCAGCTGCAGGTGTTACATCTGTATCAGGTTCACCTGTAGCAAATGTTAAATTCACACTATTAGAACTTTGTTGTTGAGTTTCTCCCCTCTGTAATGGACCTTCCTTATAGCCCCTTCTACCTCGGTCAAAACATGTAAATGCAAATACTTGACTGACATGCAGCCACTGTAGAACTAATGTTATGATTGGTTGAACCGTTATGTTTGAGATGGACATTATGTTTAATATAAACATGTAGCTTAGATCGTTCGTCAGCCAACATAGACCAATCCCAGTATGATTATTCTCGTTTTTATGATGTCTAAGAACGCAAGAAATCGAGGCTACAGTTGCATACATTTTCTAAAATATTCTTTAATCAATGACTGTTTTTGAAAAGTAGAAACATGTACTTCCTAATTTGCGATGTCCACTGTACATCTTGATCACGACCTAGTGACCTAGTCTGGCGCAAGCAGGCGGCGGAAGATTAGCACAAGTCTCGACCTAGTCTCGTGTTCTTGCGAGACTAGGTCACCAGTGATCAAGCTGTACAGTCGACTTCGAAAAGTTTTAGGTACTTGTCTCTACCTTTCAAAAACAGTCACTGATTGAAGAATATTCTACTAACTGTTACTTTTGCGTGACTGATGAACTTCTTCAACGAGTTGCATACATGCAGTTAATGATAAAGTACATTGGATATCGTCTTTTATCTATACATAAATATAAAATGAAAATGCCCACTGACCTGGCTCGTCTACTTCTACCTGTTCCCTGGGTTCTGCCTGAAACCGAACCACAAGATTGTTACTTTCGCCAAGAAGTTAATATTCTGTTGGTAACGTTAAACTTTGTATGTGTGTATGTAATGTGTGTGTGTACGTAGTTTAGCGCGACAACTCAAGAAGATACATGGATTGTCATGAAACTTGGAAGTTGAGTGAAGGTGAAGATCATTAAACATGACTAATTCAAATAAGGCTGTAATTGGGTAGATAATAGGTCACGTAAATAGGATCAACTAATATGATTTATGAAAATGAGGACCTTGTTTGCATACTCAATGAGAAACATTTCTAATTCGTCAAAAAAGCTTAACATTATTGGCAAAGTTTTGACGTGGTAGAACTCTTGTTGTAGAGTGTAAAATTAAGAAAATGAGCAGCATCGTATTTCAGGAACATCTTGGGCATGGGCGATCTTTGCTTCATTGCCATAAAGAAAAAAAAAAGGAGACATTTCGGGACAACTAAAGAAAAACAACTAAACATATTCTGTATGTTGTTTATGAATCTCATGTACCACGAATAGTACTCAAACGTCTTTATCTAAACATGACTTCTTATTCATATTAATTTCCCTTAAAACCATCAAAATGCCACAAAACCACAAGAAAACTAACGTTTGAGGATGTGCACAATCTTACTTACTGTAGGCGGTGTTATTTCAGTGGTCATCAGTGGTTTAGGCCGCGGAGGTGGAGGTGTCTCTGTCTCTGTTGAAGTTGGTGGCGGTAGTGTGGATGGTTGCCCATGATTAGTATTTTCAATCGTTGGACCACGTTCTTTCCTTCTTCTTGCCCCTGGGTAGAGTCTCTCCAGCCGGCCCGGATACAGCTCCACTTTGGTAGTTGCGCCTTCACCCTTGTCCACCAGCTTCACGTCGAACTCCAGCACACGCGGCCTCTCGCAGTAGAAGATGTAGTCCACTCCGTGGTCGTTCTCAACAGGGCGGATGCTGCCTTCAAATATGACGCAGAATTCCTCTCCTTCCGTCATAACGATGGGAGGGGTGGGTGTACCCGGCTGGGGAAACAAGATGCGCATTTTTATCACAAAGATGGAGCAGGAATTCATTTGATTCCTAGGCTGTATAAGAATGCTTTTGGTACGTTGTGTCATCGACAGCCATATAATACCACGCGATTGGTTAAATAAATGTTATTTTCCTTGATCTAGTACACAGAAATCTGCACAACTAATTTGGTGACTTTTCAAGTTTTACAAATCCAGGCTGTTTTCTTTTGGGGGGGTCAGGGGCTCGTTTCTGCATTCAAGGTGGGATTTATCAATGATTAAATACCAGCTAAAACTGGTCACGGTTGTTTCAATCGAAAACGTCGCCAATATTATACTCGTTATGCCCGAAAGCTAATTGCATGTACAGGATCAAAGCGGTAACGTATAACGAACTATTGTCTGATCTTCTTATACAACTGCTACAATTGCCATAATGGTACTGTCCTTCTTTGAAGGTAGTGGATTTTGAATTGTCCCTTGTAATGAGTGGGTTTTAATGTGATCCTTGTCTTTTGGTGATTTTCTAGATGGTAAAAGGATGGGAAGATTGTGGCAACTGTTGAAATAATCTGTTTGTTTGATCTTGTGGTGAGTGCACTGAATCATAAAATGTGTTTAATATTTTTACTGTTTCTACAATATTTACACATTTACACAGGTATGTTCTAGTAGTCCTTTCTATCTCTATTCTTGTCTTACATATGGCGGATTAAACTCATTGTGACATAGATATTTTCCATCGAATATTCAGATTTTACAGTTTTGTATGGTATTAGCTTACCATTACAGACAGTGATTAAATTAGACTTCCTCTGAGTGTACCAACCGCTATTGTTTAACCCACTTTAGCAGTCATGTTATTTTAGCTATTACATGTACATGATAGTGTCTCTGGTTCTTCTTGTAATGGTTGCCTAGCTAACAGCTATATGTTTTAGGTAAGGCTGATAACATAACGTAAAGAAGAAAAAAGCCAAAAGCAACCATTATCAGACTTATCTAGCATTCATTTTCATTGGAAAAGCCCAAGTTTTGTGCAGTGTTAATCTTATTCATCTCTTCCCTTACCTGACACTCGAATCCTTCATTTTCAGCACAGACCTTGCGGTCTTCCACCATCTCGTTGAGTACACACTCTATCCGGGCGGTCATCACTCCATCCTCCGGCGGTTCCTTCCACTTCTTGAAGATGATGATTCTGACTTGCCTTGCCCTGATGTTCTTGATTACCATGTTGACAATCCTCGTAGCATCTTCGATTTCGCCACAACGGAGAACGGTGAAACTAGCAGAAGAACGGAACGTGCGTTTTTAGTTAATTTACCCGTATTATAACGTGTAGTTAAATTTTTTCAGATCTAGATCACCAATGACGTCATGGTTTGTCATTAAGGTATTTCCTAGATTTCATATTTGTTTAGACCTTTACTTCTTTTTTCCCTTCTTTATGGGCCTGTTGATTTCTGATACAATAGATTAGGATTAGTGACTTTGTCAATTTTGGTAATTTAATTCAGACGATAGCAAGTTAGCGATAAAATGTGTCGCATTCTGAAATAAGAACACAGATCATTTTTTATATTATTGTTTTTTAGATCATGTCTCCCGACTCATTTACTTTTTAAAATGTCGGACAATTCATCTCCCACTGCCTCCAGAGATGCCAACCCTCCAATATTTGAACTAGAAATAGAATAGTAGTGTCATGTCTCTCACATTTTTATGTATTACCCAATCCTCTTTCTGTCACATATACATGGATTATGATATTAGTTTTTTAAAAAATAGAGATAGAAACTTAGTTTAGTAGAAGTATAACTTAATCTCTGCACAATCTTCAATACATTATGTGCTTATCGTCCTTGCCAGTTTGCAATTAGCCCTAGGGCATGAACTTGCAAAAAAAAACTTTCGTCATATAGTAACTTATCCATGTAAAATACTCCCTTTGTCCTAGAACTGATGCTACCTTTTTACAATTCCAGGCATTATTCTTCATATTGAAGTTAGTCATATCATTCGACTCCTCTACGCCAAGTACAATTGACCGCTCACCCATGTTTGAGTTGGCTTCTGATAACCATCTTTGACCCCTGTAGGACGATGTCGTCCACGGAGCTGGTGATGTCTTCCCAGTGTCCTCTCTCATCGCAGCTCAGGACGCGAAGTCGTGTGTTCTGATCACCAGGCGACAGCGGCAGTATTATGGTGGCAGGGCTGCTGAGGATCAGGTTCTTGCTGAACTTAACGATGTGACTCATACTGGCGACACCGCTGATCCCATCCTCTCCCGTAGCAGCGCACGTCAGGGTGTCCGCATCCACAGGGAGGACCTAAAATAGAAAAAAAATACTATTCTTAAATATATATATATGATATAAAATAACTAAGTAATACCTTAGCTTTTAGAACCGGTACAATGTCCAAGTGCTCACCTTGCATTCGGTAGGTCGTGAGTTCGGTCCCCGGTCGAGTCATACCAAAGACCTGTGCATACTGCTTTCTTTGCGTAGCACTCAAGCATTTGGGAAAGAGTATGGGACTTACACATACATCACTGCATGTGGACTAGCCCCTACTGTATAGTGATGACACAACTGTGTGGCTCAAGGGCTAAAGAAACTGAGATGGGCGCCGCGCCGATACTCTATACCTTACCTGATATATCTTACCCCTGCATTTGTGGCATCGTTTTCCTTTTGCTTCTAGCAATTGTGAATCAGAGTGTCAGTATAAATGTCTGACCTTAAAATTTATCTCACAATTCTGCGGGACACTGTCCTTGGGGAGGCACATCTCGACGTTTGTCTGTTCTGAGGACCTCAGCGTTGACGCTTGCCCTTCCTCTACTGTTTGGCAGTGCTCCAGAGGTCTTGCCACGGCAGCAAACTCAGAAAAATGTGAGACCTCTACTGTTACGAACCACTGTCCCTGCAAAGTGCATGTCAATCCATATGTGTTACTGGTTCGACTAAGACGAACATATATATGCACTGAAATTAACATTACCATGGAATTTTAATTAGTGTTTGCAAATGACCTTAAAAAGGATTAACTTTTGTTTCAACTGGACTTAAGCATTTCAACCACTTTTGGCAGTGGTGCTGAGCCACTACTACAAAGGAGGAGAAAATATTATTAAAAACAACCTTGCTTAAAATGGGGGATAGATATAGGCTATATTCCTCCTATCACTGTAATCACGTGTAAAATCCACGCATTCAAATGAAGGGTATTACTAAAATGGCTTTCTTTTAAATCCAATTTTTGTGATTCACTACAGATATAAATTTGAAAATTATTACTTACTTCCTCTTGTTGGCTTACAGTGTCCAGATTCATCCAAGAACGTCCTAGATCTTCAGTTGTCTTGACGATGAACTCCTTTTCACAGAAGAACTTTGGTAAAGAGTGCGGGATCTTCAGCTTCACGGGTTTGGAGAATTTCATCCCCGCCGGTCTCATCTCTATGATGTCGCTGACTAGTAGCTCGTCGTCCTCAAGCCCGACTGTCTGATCGTACCCGTGTGGGTTCAGCACTGCTGAGATGACGGAGATATCTTCATCAGTAGCTCCTGGAGGGACACTCAGCCTGCAGCCTGCCGGGAGGTCCAGGTACTGCATGCCATCTGCGTCTGATGAAATTGGAAAGCTGGGGATGATAAAAGATGACGTTAGTTGTTTAATTACCTCATGACTCGGTAAATCACGTTGTTAAACCATCGAAAAATACAATAGTTGTTACTATCTAAATATCTGGAAAGAGAAGGGAATGCGATTTTTGGCTCTCACCTAATCTGTGTGTCGTATTCGTCTGGAACTGTTTGGCCCAGGCGGAGTTCTGCATCCACACAAATTGCAAATTCCTTGGAAATGTCGTCCAAGAGATCTTCCATCACTCCCACTACAAGACGCCGTTCTTCACTCTCCTTTGAAGCGAAATATTCTGTGACCACTTCTATTGTTAGCCTTGTCATCACCTCCTCCAACATTTCTTCCATCACTTTCCACGCCACATCATCCATCAGCACTGCGTCTGAAGCCACTTCTATCGTCAACATTGCACTCGCTTCCTCTAACATGTCTCTCATCACTTCCAATGCCGTACTTTCTGCCTGCAAAGCCTCTGTGGCCACTTCAGTTGTCAGCATTGCCTTCACTTCCTCCAACATTTCTTCCACCAATTTCCACGCCACATTATCCGCCAGCACTGCGTCTGAAGCCACTTCTATTGTCAACATTGCCTTTGCCTCCTCTAACATGTCTCTCATCACTTCCCATGCCATGCTATCTGCCTCTGCAGAGCTTGTTGCTTCTTCTTCTAACATAGTTCTTGTCATTTCCTCCACCAACTCGTCTGTGATGAGTGCCATAGCCTCCTCTTCATCGATTGCTTCTTTGCTGATTTCCTTTGCAAGACCTGACAGGACTCTTTCCAAAATGCTATGGAAGATGTCCTCGGAGCATTCTTTGTCAGAGAGTACAACGTCAGTGACGTCTAACATAAGATCGTCCCAAGCACTCTCTTCAGCAGATGTGATCGTGTTTTCCATCAGACCTTCGATGATTGTATCCTCAACAACGTCTGTAACAATGTTGACTTCAGCTAGTTTGATGACATCTCTTGACACGAGTTCAGCAAGTACGGAGACCACGTTGCCCTGAGCAATTTCCGACTCCGGAAGCGCTAGAGCCTGACAGTTGTCCAGGATGAGACCTTTGTTTGTACCTGTCTGCTTATCTCTGAGATTCTCCCTCAGTCGATACAGTGAGACCGGCAGATCGGACAGACGACGGTTTCCCTCCAGATCGAGAGTTTCCAGGTAGAGAAGGTTCCCGATCTCTTCAGGAAGGGCGCGCAGCTTGTTTCCAGCAAGATGAATCCGTCTTATGGAAGTCAACTTCCCTACAGCGTCAGACACTGCCTCGATTCCACAGTAGCTGATGTTCAGTTCCTCCAAGTTCTCAAGATGTTCAAGCCCTTCTGGAACAGCCTTTAAGGAACAGTTGGACTCCATATCCAGTGTTTTTAAGGTCCTTGGAACGTTCATCTTTAGGTCGCCCTGGCTGTTGTTCATCCTGTTCCGCTTAATTATCAGGCATTGTAGAGAGTTCAGAGACCTGACCGGTTCGGGGATTCCTTCAAAGGCGTTATCGCTGAGGATTAGGACTTTGAGTTGTTCCAACCCTGACATGCTTGGAGGCAGTTTGGCCAGCTCATTATTAGACAGGTTGAGTGTTTCGATTGCGGCCAGGGGAGTCAGATTCCTGGGAAGCGACTTCAGCTGACTACCGCTCCAGTCAAGCTCATTTAAAGAGCTTGGTTTCTTTAGTTGAGCCCACAGATTGTCTTCTGACTCCGTCGAAATGCTGACGTTGGCCTGTCTTTCCCTTTCATTCATGCCTTTTCTTGTGGGTGATTTTTCCGACTTTTGCTTACGAGAGCGAGCCATCTTAGGTGGTTTTCCTGACTTTTGCTTACGAGAGCGATCCATCTTATGACCTTAGGAAGACGTCTCTGTGTTGATGAAAATGTCCTGTAAAAACAAACATTCATTAAGACTGAATATCAAAACGAAAAATCATCAAACTATTATTCATTCCCACTCGCAACAGGTGCCACAGATGGCGTTGTCAAATTTCATAGCGTTTGTTTGTATGCATGTTTGGATATGGTTTAGCACCACATTAGCAATTGATTAAAAGAAAATTTGGTATCAGTATCTTAACCGAAAGGTTTTAGTTCCTTTAACGGCTAGGTCGGCGTATGGTGGCTTAGGGATTGGTATCTTCGTAACTCTGTGAAATGCTAATTATGCAAACCAGAGCAAATAGTACATATATCATGAAGAAATTAGATAGGCCTACTTTTTGACGTGAGCGAATACAGCATGTTGTACTCCATATCCCTAACATGAGAATTGATTGTTCCAATCACACACCTGTGCAAAAGTAGAACATAAACTTCTGCCCCAAGTAAACTGCTGCCAGGTCATCCAAGTTTTAAATGAAGCCTTCCCAATTCCACCCCAACTAAAAAAAATGTTCCCCCTATTCAAAATTGGAATCTTCCTCCCTTGCATAGATCTCCAAAACCTGCCATACAACAACTGACTTTTCAAAATCTCTCATTCAAAATTGATTTTTAAGAAAAATCACCCTAATCGATAATTGACTCTTCCATTGGCCCAATATTATGATATAGACCAATCCAAACACACCTCGACCTAAGATATGGACGTTTTTTCTAAAATCACACTTGTTTACTGAGGTTGAATAAAAAAAAATACAACCCCATAAAGGGCTCTTCCATCGACACTCATAGTATGTCATGGTTCAGTTAAACATGTCCACAAATTTTAAAACAAATTATTTTTTCAGTCACCATAGCCCAAGATTTAAATCTAAGACCCTCCTCCATTCAAGGAAGGAGTCTTCCACCACCCTCAGTGCAACGACATGGACCAGTCGAGAAACACTTCCACACTGAATTTTTCTGATCACCCGTCTAAAATTAATTTTTAAGTAGTCGCAAAAAATTATACATGCAGTTACAAGGGCACACATGTACTTGTGTAATTGAAATTAACCATATGTGAGTTGCTTGAAAAAAAGAACAACATTGATTTATGCAAGCGAATACCGTCTTAACGTTTACCTTAGTGAAGAAGCCAGAAAATGTAACCTCTTTCCTCAAGAAAATGCAGACAAAGCTTCACATATCAGCAGAGAACGAGCTGACCGCTCAGTAGCGTTTCTTAGTTACAAAAGTGCGCCTTTTATGAACTGAGATGCACGATAGCACCTTAACTACACTAGGGGAAATATTAAAGTTATTGTCAACAAACTGTCGAACACAGCATCTGTGCAGGATTCGCAAAGCATACGGCCAAAACTATGCATAGAAAGCAGTAACAAAACAACAAACGTGGCCTGTTGAAACGAACAGAACATGTACAGAAAAACTTTGGTACCAATTTATACATGTAGCTGCACCGTTTGCAAAGGCAACTGTAGAACAAATTAACTTTATTGACACAACAAGAGTACAGCGACATGCAGTCGTAAAGCCTTCAATATAGCCCCCTGATACTATTTGCAGCATGTCTGAAAATCAAACATGGCCTGTTCTTTAACTGATCACGTTAATCAATCACTGTACTGCGCTACGCCATTAGTTCAAAGTATTTTGTTATTAGTGAATAGCCGTAAAATAATCTATCAATACCTGTTGACAATTGGTAAAAGGAGTTGGACGACCGTAACATTACAATATCTAAGCAACGGCGTATGTTTGTAGTCGCCACATTCTTTGTTGATAAAGTATTGCTATTGAATAGGTGCCAAATGGTTATGAAAGCATTTTATTGCTTTGTGACTAAACTGTGAGTAGACGGGACCGTCCTAGTCCTATAGCAATGTCACACATATCGGAGATGGCCAGGGATTTGAAAGAACAGAAATGCACGCAGTTTTAATTGGGACTAGATGACATTCGTTCTGTAGTGACTTGGCATTTCGGCAGTAAACTCATAGGACTAGAGAAATGTCACCAGAAACGTCTTTTATTTACGATGTGTGGCGGAAGCAGGCTGATACTGGTTGCTGCTAACATTTCAAGTTAAAGTTATAGACGCCAGGACAAAGCTGATATTGTGTGAATTTTTTTAATTTTTTTGTCCAGGCATTATCAATAGAAATTTTCTGTAAATCTCCAGTAAGGCCACACCAATTTAATTTGTTGGTTCTCGGATTCGCCTCTTCGTTTTTTTCTGATTTGCAAAAAAAAAAAATTGATTCTGGTCCTGAATCAACTGAAAAATGCTCATGTTTTGCCCCCCAACAGTTGAGGAAAGTCCTTTTCTTCCTAGTTGTTACAGTTTTCCCATCTATCATTACAGTGGTTTGATTAAAAGTTCAAAATCAATGTTTAAATTTTAACCCAGCCTTTTGTGTTGACTTCATGGCTCATTTTGTAGCATTTAAGCCTATAATAGGATGCCTAGACCTGTTTTTATTTTTATTTTTTTCGCCCTGTCGCTTCATATTTTTTCTAAAAAAATCCGAGAACCAACAAATTAAATTGGTGTGGCCTAATGACGAAATGACGAGCAAGGAACTCGGCAAATGATCTGTTGTGTACTACATACCTCACCCCTTGATTTTTTGTAGATTTATGAGTGACACCATGTAAGTCATGCTACCACGTAAATCTGGTTTGAAACCATACTTGCTGTTTTTTTCATGACATAAACGACCGGAGGTGCTAATCTACTGCCTTTATTCAGAACATGAGGGAATTAACTTTAAAGATGGCGACCCTGGACAGAAAACATTATATATTTCGATAATCGACCAAGATATCTGATAAAATATTCACCCAATTTTGGACGAATTATCGACCAAGTCCTCTCATGAAATATTTACCCGATTTTTTACTATTTCAATCCGCCAAGAGGTCTGTCGACACTAGGTCACTTCTCCGTAGAACAGTACATAATTCGACATGCACGAAGCAAACTAGTTTCCCAAAGAGTTTTTAGATCCAGTTTTTTTAACCAGTTGATTTATTTTGCACTAAGTACTAAAGCAGCATGATTACAACAATCGTTAAATGGGTTTTCCTACCTTAAAGCATGCTATCAACCAGAGCCTCTTATTAACAACTGACGGCTGTCAATCAGTCGGGTGGCAGACCGCCACAGCTGAGCATTGACAGGACTGCCATGGTTAGTCAGGAGACGAACAAACCACAAACCACTCGATGATCAGTGACGAACATTCTCCATGTACGTAGGTAGCGACAAACCATGCCAAGTCGCTATTTACAGAGCCGTCTCTAATGTAAATGTCTAACCATTTAAATTGGGCCTTGATTTATGTAGATGAAAACAATTTAACCAATTGGAAAACTGGGAACGATAACGATCACACCGTTAATCAGTATTATCATATAGCCGGGTGGCGTAGACCAATCAGAGGCCTCCGTTACCCGTGCTTTATTCTCCGATAAACCATGGCTCAGCCGTGCGTTATTCTCCATAAACCATGGGTGAAACCATAATGATATAGGGGTACACAGCTCTTTCTGTTAATATTCATAGCAGTTTCCTGGTCAGACAAAATTATGTTTTTTTAAGCTTCATATAAACTAAAATGTGTGTGAGTATGAAATGTATATGTAAATAGATAGAATTTGAACGGGAGAGCAAAAACCATACTTATTTTGACACCCCTACAAAAAGTGGTATCGCCCACATCACCTGACTGAATCAGACCAGGGATCAGACGATTTATTTTTTTTTGGTCCGCCATCTTGCCTTCTTGTGTCATGGAGAGTTTGCCTAATTTCTACATGGAAGAGATAACAGACGCGGATTTAGATGAGATATTTGGACCCATGGAGGTCGAGGAACAGACGCTGGAAGCTACACCGGAGACAGAGGTCAGCAGGGTGCGTTTCGCGTGTCTGAACGAACAACAACTTGTGCTACAAGTCGGTACCGTACGAACGTGTTGATTTTTGCCCTCCCCCATCTTTGTTATCAATTGGAATTGGCAGACGCCAGCTGAGTTGGACGCCAGGCAGAGCGCGTCTGTGAGCGGCTGTGATTCATGCCGTCCGCCATCCCGCTCCCCTTATCTCGAGTATTTCCTGTCTGTGCTTTCGTATAGTTCCCGTTACCCACCAACAAGTCAGTGTAGGGTTCCCGTTCTTCCTGTGCAGACGACAGAGCTCCTGTAGGGTGAGTTTTGTGCTACAAGTCGGTACCGTACGAACGTGTTGATTTTTGCCCTCCCCCATCTTTGTTATCAATATTTTTTTCCGCGGGACGCGTGTAAAGTTGTAAACTATATTTATTGTAAAATGATCTCCATATTTATTTTAAAGTACAAACCATGATTATAATATTTTGGAATGTATTGTTATGTAAATATTAAAGGTTTAATGTTTTGAACAGGAATTGTGTTGATTCATTGTGTCAGTTTGGATAGGCTATATGATAATAACGTTAATGCACCGCCTTTTCCTCGGTGTATATGGTGTCATAAATGCATGGTCAGCTGCTATAACCACCTAATAACCACCTCGTTCGCTTCGCTCACTCGGTGGTTTATTCGGTGGTTATAGCAGCTGACCATGCATTTATGACACCATATACACCTCGGGGCGGTGCATTAACCCTTTATTAACGACATTCCGCTTTTGAGGCCCATGCCATACGGTTTCCTGGGCGGATCAGGGCCAACGTAGACTGCTGAGTAAGTGACTCCAGATTGCAATTTAAGTGCACAACCGAGCACAACTTTATGGTAGTCTGAACAATATTGAACAAAGATGGCGGACGGGAGTCACGTGATGACGTAGTCCTTCTGGACTTTGTGGGCTAAACCAACTGCCTAACATAGGGGTGGCGCAGTAATAGCATTCGTGGGGGAGTTCCATGCCTGAATCCGCTCGGCATTCACGTCTCAAGCACCGGGAACCTTGTAACATTGGCGGGATATACGGCACCTGGCCTTAAAATGTGCTCCAGACTACTTATGCGGGACAACAACCGTAGGCAGGATTTGCACCTGGTGGCGCATGAAGTTTTGTTTTTAACTTTTTTTTATACCATTTGATGTTCCTACTGGGAATTCTCCTTGAAAGAACAAGACCAAAGGGCTACAAAACTATGCAAACTTTGATCGTAAAAATTGCACAAGTTGTAAATATAGGGATCTTGGATTCACTGCTATGATACAGTACCATTTATGTAGATCCCGTTGCCTTGTATATGTACGATTTGGGGGTATTTCTTGTGCAGCACATCACACTACAGCAAAACACAACGAATGCGGAAGTAACTACGCCACCGCTGGGCTAAAATTTCAAGGTTCTGTGACCTGATTAAGACATCGAATTATTGAAAAATATTGTGCAAAAAAGCCAGCAGGACAAGGATTATAGATGTTGTGTCTTGAGATGTTGGTAAAGTCTGCAGGTCAAGGAATTAAAAGGTTTGTTGCTGACCATTAAGTAGTAAAGTTAGTGAATGAAGGTTTCTTGCGCCAAAATCCTTGCAGCATAACACCTATGAAAATCCATCAAGATGTTTGATCATGATGACCATAAATCATTGCAAGATACTTTAAACAATGTTCACTTATTGTTTTAAGTTTTAAGCTCATAAAATTAAAAATCATGCACTTAAAAGTTTTTGAATATCTACCTTGATCAACCTTCAACTAACCAATGTTGATCCGTAAGACTGTAAATAACGTTATATCTGTATTTTTATATTCACGTTTTTCGCAGCCACTTCTGTACCGCAAATTTATCACGTAATGACATCAAAACCTGTATGCAATGACGTCACATCCTGTATGCAAGACATCACTTCCTGTTTTGTTCCAAGAGGTTCAACATGCATACCTAATCAGGATTTATAAATCAACTGTGTTCCATGATAGGAATTCAACCAAGCACCATGTGTAACAACGAGAGGAACATTGATGAATATCAATTAAGCAAAACAGTACCTCATTTGACCTCATTTGCATGATTGATTAGAAAATGCTACTATTTTGCTAAGAATTGGGGCTATAACGATTATTACATACTTCTGCTTGAGTACATTTGGTCAGTTGAGCGTTTAATCTAAAAATGCAATATGTATATAGGGACCAAATTGTAATCTCGAGAAAGTCCAGACAAAGTTCCAGACATCAGCAAACATCAGCAAGGAGCCAACCTCCACGCGGCGTTGTCAAGCTACACATGTACCTTTTGTTGAACTGAGAGTCACGATAACATCTTAACTACACTAAGGCAACTATTAAACTGTGGGTAACATATGCCAGATGATATCGTCGTAGGTAGGAATTGTGCAAAATGTGCAGAGCATAAGGACAATGATTCGTAACAGAGAAAAATAATTGGAAATCAGCAACAAAACCACAATCGCCTCTTGGTGAGATTAACAGATATACAGTTACACGTAAACTTAGGTACCGATTTAAATACATGTTTGCAATTGATGCGACCTTCGAAGGCAACAACACAGCTAATCTTTCACCCATTTTTCTTTGCAGCATGTCTGAAAATCAAACATGACCTGTTCTCTAACCGGTTACGTTAATCAATCACTGTATTGAGTTACACCTATACGTTACTGTACTTTGTCACCAGTGAATAGCCATTAAATAATCAATCAATACTTGTTGTCAACTGGTTAACACATCATACGAAAACAGTACAGTACAGTATGACCTTGGCATTGCAATTTCAACAGTTGAAAATACTCAAATTACGATACAGCATATGATAAATGGGCCATTCTCTACATATCTTTATAATATATTATGTTATAAGAATTTTACATGCATTATCAACCACGCATTTTCAGGGTTAAAAAGTAATTTTGGGATAGGGAGGGATTTTGGGATGAAAGTTTCAAAAGAAGTACAAAGCACATTGTAGCGTCAGAAAATCAGTTTTCTTTTGTATTCGGTATTAACGATTTGGAAATCGAGACCATGCACAAACCCTCGCCTTACAAATATATACTCCAACGATCGGCCACCCCCTGAAAAAAATATTAACCCCTATTGTCGACAATTTCTACAATTAGCACACTTCACCAACGGTAAAGACAGTGTCATACAGACATAACTATTAGGTAATACAAAAGAAATATAGCAATTTGATAAATTGATAAAGGCTTGTTTTTTTTAGATAATCTCGTTGCTTGGTTTCGCGTATTTTTTGCGTATTTCTTTTATTTTCACATATGGAAGTCTTATAAATACAATTTTGACAGTCATCATTAACAATGGATTTCCTACCTTAAAGTCTGCTATCAACCAGAACCTGCTCTCAACAACTGGCGGATGTATATCCTTCGGGGGCAAGCCAAAAACAGCTGAACATGGAGAATTCTCTGTCGTGGAGTAGTCAGGAGACGAACAAACAACTTCTTTGAAGAAAAGGTAGGGCAACGTTGTATATAAAGCCGCGGCCGTCTCTATTGTAATCTCTAGCTATTTGTTTGGCCTTGATGTGTCTGGATAAAAACTATTAATCAACCAATCGGGAAACAGAAAGGTTATTCAGAACGACAACAACAGCACCGTTAATTGTTATTTAAGACTTGGCTCTGTTCAAAGGGTGCTTTTAAGGCCCCAGGGGGCGGAAGGGGTGCTTTTAAGGCCCCGACTGTAGCATAACACAGTTTTCGCCCTATAGGGATATTTATAGTGAAGGAACATACAGTGAGAAGAGTCGACGCTTTTGAAATTTATAGTAGGGTGCTCAAGCAAGTTACATAAAATGAATACGTTTGGGTTCAGTGAACCGCCTACAAAATATGTGAAAACCAGCTCAGTTTGCCCGCTCGGTTTATTGTAACGTTAAAAGCCTTCTTTTATATGGCGCTATGTGGGAGTCTTGTGAACTGCAATCAGCGCACAGTACAAGGCGGTTTTACAAACATAATCCAGACTAGTCTCCACCTAGTCTTCTTCGCAGACTGGTATAGCGGTGGCGTTATTTCTTTCAGTGAGCGACGCGTTATGCTTGGGAGGGACGATTTTGCCGCCGAGGGAGTTTTGATGAAACCAGCAGCGAAACCGTCTCCCACTCTAGCTCTGAAAGCAGACTCTATTTTTGCTCGAGCCGCACTACGTAGCGCACGAACTTACCAGATATAGGAGAACCAGAAATTGACGTGTTTTTGACAAAATTTGATCAAGATTCCTTTGTTCGCGGAAAATTAGTTGATCCGGTGAAAAAGTCTTGGCAGGTGTACACATGTACACTGATAGCTCTCGACTGGCGGAATTACTGGCCCCTCCCCTGGTGTCTGGGTGGGGAGAGGCGGATAGGGACGTGGCCTTTGCGCCCGAAAGTAGCGATCGCTATTTTAAGCGGGACTGATGTTACTGACCTCGGCGTTACACAGTCTATTACAGCTGAATTGAGATAAGATGCCCTATTGTCAATCTCCAAGCAGATTCGGTGGGGCAGGGGGACTTTATGTCAGCCGCCTGTCACAGTCCATCGGCCGCCTAGCCTGTATCCAACGTTCGCCCCACGTGAAGATTACCCTATTGTTAACTGCCTGGTACGCACAATACAAACTGTCACTTCGTATTGCGCTATGGTTGATTGGAACATGAGCAGTTGCATAATATCTCAGACCTGCCAAAATTTGAATAATTTATGGCATAGGCGTCTCCCTGTTAACCTGTAGGAGAAGAAATAAAGAGGCCATTTTAGCACAAGAGCTGTGCGTAATACGACTGCTGCCGTGTACTTGTGTGTATTTAGTCGGTGATCAGCTAAAGGTTAGTCCTTTAGTTACATGTATTATTCTTAGGATACTGGCTGTAAGGTCGGCCTATTGGTCACCAGTAGAAATATGGAGTACTGTGTTGCCATTAGTTCGACATTGTTATATGGAATGGCTGAGTGCCAGACCCACCAGAATTATTACTAGTAATAGATTTAAGAAAATCTAAGAATTATTGATAAATATCGCCGGCGTAAGCCACAATTAGTATAGCACACCAGTTTTGTACAAGCTGCGAAAGACTGGACTAAACTGGTTTGAACTACTCACACCGGTAAGGACCTCTACTATTTCCGACAAGTGTGATGGGATCTTTATTGTGCTCGCATGTATTTCTCCTTAAACATCTTAAGGTTTAGTAGATTTACACCTGAGTCGAGTTGAGGAATATGTGTTAAGTGCCTCTCCAAATGACACAACAATGGATCTGCCAGGAATTCTAACCGACAATCTTTAGATTCTGAGTCAAGAATCGTAACCACAAGACCATCTTGCCATCTTTGAAGCTGCATTTTTGCATTAAAACTGCTAATACAAAACTGCACATTCTAGTTGAAAAAGTCTCCTATGCTTTACCTTGCAGGGCCGATATTATCGTATATAGATTATTCATCTGGCCGAGGAACACGGTTGTGTTATCTAGGTTATCCTGTTGAAAACAGAGGTTGTTAACAGGGATGGTTTAATACCGCTATTTACCATGGAAATATCAGTCCCCAAAACCAAAGCCATGCACATACACAGTAGACATCAAAGATGACCGAGACCGAGGTAGCCGCCTTGAACCTCAAACACAGATGCTCAGAGTGCACCATGAGAATTTCCAACAAAAAGAGGCCTAGCCATCCACCGGAGTCGTTGGTGCCTCCGCCATCCCTCCACTGCAAACACCCGGTCACGTACGGGTACCCTCACTGATAAAGAAGTGCAGCGTCAGAAGAGACTCGCCAAGGAAAAGGAACGGCCACATGTCACCCTACAGGGCCAACAACTAGAAAACGTCCACGCATTCGACTACCTCCGAAGCCGCATGCCATGTGACGGTGACCAGGAAGCGGATGTGAACCACAGGATGGTGATCGCCCAAACACTCTTCAGCTCCCTACAACATATTTGGAGAGACCACAGACTTCCCAATTCAATGAAAGTACGTCGGTACAAATCTTCCGTCTGCTCAACCCTCACACGTAGCTGTGAAGCATGGGACTTAACCCGGGACGTCACAAGAATGAGCAACGGTTTCAACAGCAGATGCCTACAAGTGATAACTAAGAAACATTTTCGGGACACAGCAACAAATCCTGACTACAACCTGATGCTCACTATTCGTCGTAGGAGACTCCGGTACCTTGGCCACATTCTTCGCATGGACCCCTCCAGGCTGCTTAGGCGCTCCCTCAAAGCCTCCGTGTGCCGAGGAGACAACCCTCCTGAGGGACTCTGCTTATGGATTGTGAACACTTATCATTTGAACAGTTAGCTAGACATGCAGGAAATAGGCGGATGTGGAACTCTAAAATCAATAAGTTAAGATGACTCCATACTGTTAGGCATGTAGCAAAAGACCATGTGGTCTGAAAATTGTAAAACATACATACATAATACCGCTAAGAAGATAAAATATATTTTTCCATCGAGGAAAAAAACAACGAGATTGGTCTAAAGAAGAACAATTTGGCGCAGTTCGACTCTGGCGTGTCAGAATCAAGTCCACTGAGTGTGAAAAATCTATAGAAAAATCTATTGTTAACTACCTTTTGTGTACAATACATACAGCCTATTCGCATTGTGTTGCGATAGACTGGAAATGAGCAGTTAATACCTAAGACCTGCCACAGTTTGAATAATTTATTGCAAGGTTGTTTCTGTGCAAACAAGAGTAAAGAGTTATGGCAACGGAGGCGTACCCACTACCAATGTGGTCCTTCTTTCCCCTTTCCTGAATAATAAAAGTTAGCGGTTGGCCTAAAATTGTTTTCTGGCTCTGACTGTTTTCTTATCATTAGAAAACTGCGAGAAAGAAATGTATTTTATGTTGATTCATGAAGAGTGTCTTGTGAAATGCTCGGTTTGAAAGCCACTAATGAAATATGATAAAAAACTTCATCAGATTCTGACAACTTAGTTTACTTCCGTAAATAATTTCATCAGGTTGGTAAACGACTGAATAGCAAAGTTCTTTTTATCACAACCATTTATTTTTTACTAGCCGACGTTTCGATGACCGTCTGTCATCTTCATCAGGGCAATTCTGACTGGTTTACTGTGCACTGACACTAGATGTTACTTGGTGCATAGTGCACTAAAGATGTTACATAGTTCATAGTGCACTTAAGCTAGGTTTTTTCTGTTTATGAGTTTTTTTCGTGATGAGGGGGAGTTTTTTTCCGTGATGAGGGGGTATAAACTTAGTCATGTTTGGGATCACATTCTTAATAACTGACATTGGTTTATTGTTTGTAAATATTATGATTCCTAACAATACATATGCAACAAAAACTTTTAATAATTTCTATTTGGGACTGTGATAGCTCAGTATTGTCAGTTAAACAAATCTTATATAGAAACACTTTACATTTGGAACCACATATTTCCCTATGATGTAACAATGCCTAGTATGTATGTCACAATTACACTACGTTCCGGAATGTATTGTAAACAGAAAAAAAACTAGCTTAAGTGCACTATGAACTATGTAACACCTTTAGTGTACTATGCACCATGTAACATCTAGTGACATTGCACAGTAAACCAGCCAGAATTGTCCTGATGAAGATGACAGACGGTCATCGAAACGTCGGCTAGTGAAAAATAAATGGTTGTGATAAAAAGAACTTTGCTATTCAAACTTAGTTTACTTTTGCTACTCCTATCCACCAGCATGGCATCATGAAGACTGAACTTCTGATGCTTGCTTTTCTGGCCGTCGCGGCCGTGTGTAAACCATTGGAAGACGCAGAGGAACCAGCAGAGGCTCTCGGGGATGTGCTGGCAACCGGTTGGAGGACGTCTGGACTCAGACAGAAGGATGAGGTAGAAGTCAAGAAATCCTATTAGAGCCAGATTTCTTAATTAACCGATGCCGGTTAGAGCACTTTATTATCAATGTAGTTCCTTACAAGCTTGACGTAGTTACAAAGGGTGATGAAATTAAAACAGGTGGTTACTTGAGCTTTTTTCCTCATGATTTTAATCTAACTAGAAAAAAGTAACATTTGCAAAACTAATGCATAATGTTTATTCTCGCATATGGGCTGCTCTGTTAATTCTTACTCAAACACATTCACAGACATGGTGACAGGAGTCTAAATCCCTCCTACTATAAAATTCCAACATAATATAACCCAACACTAGTTACCATGGTGAGAGACAGTTTGGTTCAGTTAGGTAAGAGGTCACTGTTTGGAGAAGAAGAAGAAGAGGAAGAGGAAACGTAGCAAAAACAATACGTTTTCCTTCGGTGACATAACTATACCCGTTTCAGACGTGGCAGAAATACAACGGTACAGGTATATAGTAAAATTGGGCTTGGTAATATTACGATAAATTTTGAGTCTCCAGAATATGGATAAGCCTGGCCTTTAGCCAACATAA